CTGAGACAAAATGCAAATTTCTTATAACCAAACACATTTCCAGCAATTTTATTTCCAGAAAGCAAACTTATTCTATAAACACAAGTATAAAAACTGAATAAGCAGAACTAACCTTTGTGCCTCTCGCTCATCTTTGGGACTAAACTGAGAAAGAGCATCAAGGATAAACACCTGGCCCCACTCAGTACACTCATTGAGAGCTGTGAGGAGTTTGTTCATAGTGGCAGCATTAAGCTCCATTAGAGGCTGGCCTGAGCTGCTGGCTTCATTGATTTCAGTCAGGGAGGCCACAGCATTTGCTACAACCTGTGGAACATCATAGCTTACAAATAATATCTATGGTTTGAAAGAGTCGTCTCGTTACCCGGAGCTCTCTCATCCCTGGAAGAGCTCTGCACCAATTGTTAAGGCTAACAGGGATACTGTATCGCTGTACCCTGTTTTCCATCCCCCATATCTTTCAAGCAAAGCTTAAAACCTTAGTACAGTACAGTAGTACATCTCATTACTTGACACCTGCACGTCCAGCACATCATTAACTGGAGATGAGATTTTCCTCTCATTATGTTCCAATCACAGTTAGATGGGAAAAAACAACAATGGGGCAAACAAACCATACTGTACACCCTGTAGTTAGGACACTGTCTCAAGAGATGTAATGGTATGTCAACTTACAGAATTGTTTTTTAGGGATTGTAAATGTTCAATTTAGTGTGGCACAACTACTAAGCAGAATTTTCATACACATATTACATATGAGAATGATTTTGCAAAAGTGTAGAGGTAGACAACAAGAAACTAATGTTAAGTTAGGTAAAATCACTTCATATGCCTATTTTCATCTTATTTAGGCACTGTATTTTTAGAGCACAGAACAATATAGCCAAGTTTTGCACTAATTCACCTCAGGGACTGTAACTATCTGTAAAATGTTTTGCCACTGGGGATGGGGAGTAAGATGGAAGCAAAGGGGTTAACTGCAAACACTTCTAATCAATCATATGGCAAAATCTCACTCGTCAAAACTTGATGGTCATTTTACTTCACATACGATATTTATGCAAGCTAAGTAGAAATGCATTTTTAACACTACACTCTTATAGAATGTCTAAACCAATTCCAATGACCAAAACTTTGTTATTCAGATGTGATACAAATGTTACACATCAAATACTAAAGGCAAAGCAGAATAAAATTTCCAATACCATTGGGTTGGAATCAGAGAGAAGCTCCTTCAGCTGATCAAGGAATCCTTGGTCTTCTACCATAGAGGCATTAATGTCGTGCAATTTAGCGACACAGATGGCTGCAGTTTTCCGCACATATGGATCTTCATCCTTCAAGCATTTGCGCAGTGGTTCACAGAGATATTCTGTAATCTTGTCAACGCGGATGCATCCCATGGTCCGCACAGCCAGAGCTCGAATGAGAGGGTTTGGATCTTCACAATCCTAAAAATAAAAATTAATTTTCTTAAAACATTAATAAAAACATATTCAAACAAATCTGATATATTGACAAACAATTTTCACCAGTAACGAAGATTCAACTTATTAATATCCAAATCTCAGTTAATATTCATCATCACTTGTCTTATGGTCACTTTTTCACATCTATGTCTGTTAGTCTATTATGAGACTTAACAATTATATTAGGTATTCTTTTGTGAAATCAATCATAATGTTGACCACAACCTCATGGATATTGTATAGTCTCACAAATATACTTCTGAACAATCTAGTTAATGACATCACATTTTTAGAAATATATCCCTAGAGTTTATCAACAAAATGTGAACAGTGGCATAAGTCATCAGTCACTCATCATTACCTTAACAAATGTATTAACAGCCATGATTGCCATGTCTGGCTGGGACTTGGCATAGTTCATAAGGTAGAGGTACACAAGCTTCTTTAATTCCAGGTTATCTGTCTGCATGCAGTTGACCACATCAGGGAAGAGCGCTGAGACATCTTTACCTGTACAGCACATGGAAACATTAAGATACAGTAATGAATGGATGTAACACAGTAACTGGGTCTAGTGCATGTTGCATTATATTTTTACATAGACAACACATTACATTACAGTTTGTCTGAAACATATCCCTTAGCCCTCCCTTCCAGGAATCTGTATTTGGTTCATTGTGGTGCTTCATTAAATAGTTTCTAAAGTTGTGTTTGTTCCTCCCTGAGTTTCCACAAGAGCAAAGTTTGTGACAGCCATAACACATAGACAAAGACTGATTGGACTGTCACTTACCAACAGTCATAGAAGCAATGACTTTCTTCACAGCTTCCTTCTTCTTCTCCTTCTTGTCACTATTTAACTCAGACTTCAACTCAAATATTTCACCTTTCTTGGTGGTCGTGAAGTACTTGGAGTCCGTCATCGTCCTGGTTTATGTTCACTTATACCTGAAAAAATATATTACAAAATAACACAACTACTGACCACCAAAATGGGCAAAAATTAAATGGATATCAAACAAACTGATCAAAACTGAACAGATATAACAAGGAAGTTCACCACCTGACAATGTTCCATAATAAGCAACGTGCAAAAGAGAATAAATGTAAAAGCCGTAACCAACCACATCCTCACACAGACAATATTTCAGCAAATCAACTCCTAAGCAAAATTTTGGGGCTAATTACTACTGATCCACAAAGAAAATTAACCTTTTCTTGGTCTTTCAGCGCAAATTGTGTCACTAAGCGCTCCCTTGCTGGCGACCCCTCCCGCTCAGCCGTGCACCCCTCCCACAACCAGAAATACAGGAACAGCGGACCGGCCCTAACAACCACTTAAGTCCCTTCCAATAGCCTCGGGTGATGGCATAAGTTTCTCTGAGGTAACATTTGTTTAGATGATAAATGTTTTCTTAATTAATAAAAAGTCCCAAAAATGTAAAACATTAAATTTTCATATTAGTGCATTATTTTTAGGATATATTTTTATCCATCCCAAACACTATTTTATGACCATGCAGATAAAATTAATAAACTTAACATACCTAACATAGACTAGGTCAGGTAGATTAGGTTAGGTTGGGTTAGGTCGGGTAAGATAGGTTTATATATTTTATGTCTGGTAAGTCATAGTAGGCAGCAGTGCACAAGTTTGGGACGGAATTTTTTTTAGAAATATTCTTAAAAAAATTTATTCCGTTCCACCTCTCATGTTTGGTTGTCATAGGTGAGGTTAGGTTAAGTTAGTTCAGGTTAGTCAAAAAGGTCATCCTAGAAACTATCATTGTATAGTGTGCCCACCAAACATGGCCATTTACCTGCCATACCAATATACATCGACGTTTCGCATACAGCTGCCATCCCTGCATCCTGTGCCAAATTAAAACACCACGGAGGCCACAACATACTTGTAAATTTATCTTAAGTTAATTTGAAGTAATATTTCTGATGCTCCACCTTCATACTTTCTTTCTTTCCATTAAAAAAAAAAGTAATTCAATTCTCAGAAAAATAAAATGACACTACTTTTAATTTCTTTTCCTTGGTATTTTTGCATTTACACACCTCACATTCCTACCACTAATCTATTATCATATTCGAATAAGACATCTAATTATAGGATAACTTTCATCTATTACATTACCTGCGGAAATGTATAATAACGGAGAAGGTGAATCCAAAAGGCCAATAAGGTAATAAATAGGTGATTCCATATATTATTGACTTTCTAACAGTGGGAGGTGGAAGTACAAATTTACCTTTTCCTTCACTACACTAACTCTTAAATACGTTAGCTACAGTCATAAAATAATTACCAAATAACGAATAACATTGTGTTAGTTACAGTTTAATGTATACATAATGATCAAAATAATCACCTGGGTAAATACTGTCAAAAAACAACACCATTTACTATATTACCTTCATTAACGAGACAAATCATCCTAGACTCAGAGAAATAGGATTAAATTATAGATAATGTGTGTATTTACCGTGAGAGGTGAGGATATAAGGATAAAATGTAATAAATGTGAGGTGTTCTGCTGCTGCTGGCCTGATCCTCCCATCGACCTCCTGGTGTAGCCGCCTCCCAACAGATGGCGCTCACTCTTCTCAATATTTTTCGCTTTATTTGGGAAAGATCAAGAGTATATTTAAGTTTAAATTCAGTTTATTTTACTTTAATATATTCTCTTCGTCTCTTAGTCTTTATATGATTTTTTGTTTTACTTATGTGGATTTTTCAGGTATTTAAATTATTTTAACCCATTTCCTCAGCTGTCAAATTATAAAGATATATTAAACTGTAATTCCTATCGTCCTCTTTTATTTTATTATATTACAATATGAGTTAGTTGTAAAGTAATGCCTTTTAGGATAATATAATATAAGTAAATAAATAGTTAATACGAACCTAATTTTTTCTTTTATCCTCTTCGCCACTGATCGGCTTGTTAGCCGCTTGGGTGATCGGTCACGTCTCTGTTACGCACTGCTGGCAAATACTGGGCATGCACCGGCTCCTGAATGTACCTGAACCTGCTCCAGTGTTGGTCAAGTCTTCTCTTGAAAGAGCTCACACTCGGTGCCGTCACAACACTCTCTGGTAGATTGTTCCAAGAGTTCACAACTCTCACTCCGAAAAGGTTTGCCCTCACAGTTTTCTGGACTTGCGGCTTCTTCAATCTTGAGCTGTGACCCATTGTGGGGCGAGCGTCCGCCAGCTCAGGACGTAGTCTGGCTTTCACGGTTATACTTTCAGAACAATGCCAGCTGCTCAACACTGGAGCAGACTTCTTGCTAAACCATCAACTGCTCGTAAAGTTATACCTCAATTAGGTCGCCTTGCCGTCAGTATAAGCAAGACTCAATCTCAGGGTAGCTGGTGCCGAAGTCTGTCTGGTGACACTTTCTTTTGAACATTTCAACCAGCTGACGAATTCATGTGAGGCCCGTACGTACAGAACAAACGCAACCCTTGACCTCATCATAACAAACGAGGAGGGTGTGGTGGCCAAACTGGAACACCTTGCCCCAGTTGGCACCAGTCACCATACAGTGTTGTCATTCAGATTTAACTGTTACCTAGTTCAAAATAAGGCCAGGCCAAGGTGCAAATATTACAAGGGAAATTACAATGGGATGAGGGAAGAGATGAGGGGTATCAACTGGCCTGACTTATTAAGGTACAAGAACGCAGACACTACGCTGAATATCATAACTAGTAAAATGACCCATTTGATCGATAAATATATACCCAAGACCAAGCCCAGTGCTTCTAGGAATACGAGGGGATCCCTACACATGAACCATGCGGCGGTCGACAAAATTAAGAAGAAAACCCAGAAATACAAGACGTGGGTTGGGTCAAACGATGAGCAAGACAGGAGGATGTATGCAAGAGCCAGAAACCAAGCAAAGATAGAGTGTAGGAGGGCTGAAAAGGAGTTCCAAAGGCTGGTTGCACGCGAGGTCAAGTCAAACCCAAAGGCGTTTTACCGCTATGCAAAGTCGAAATTGAAAACGCGAGTAGGAGTATCAGACCTGAGGCTTGAAGATGGTAGTTACGCAGACTCTGACCAGGATAAAGCTGAGGCATTGAACAGCTTCTTTTCCTCAGTGTTCACAAGAGAGGATGCAACTAACCTTCCTGCGTTTGAGGACAGACGGTTCGACACAGCACTGACCCACATTGTGTTCACAGAAGAGGGTATTAGAAATAAACTGTCCAGGCTAAAGGTCCATAAGAGTCCTGGACCTGACATGGTGCATCCTAGAGTGCTAAGGGCGCTGTGCAACGAGCTTGCAGAGCCCCTGAAGATCCTGTTTTGTAAATGCCTGGATGAACAAATGGTCCCCAGTGAATGGAAAGTGGCTTATGTGAGTCCTATCTTCAAGAAGGGCGATAGTCACTCCACGAACAACTATAGACCGGTGAGCCTGACCAGCATAATATGTAAAGTACTTGAGAGTATTATCAGAGATGCAGTGATGGAACATCTACTACGAAACAACATTGTAAAAGATTGCCAACACGGTTTTATGCCGGGGCGCTCTTGCTTGACACAATTGCTCAAGGTATTGGATATTTGGACCCATATTCTAGAACGGGGTGGTAATATCGACAATATTTACCTAGACTTTGCCAAGGCTTTCGACAGTGTACCCCACGAAAGGCTGAAAATCAGAAACAGGTACGAATTCCAATCCTGGCGTGGATAGAACTTTCTACATGACCGCAAACAATGTGGACCTTTTAAGGCTCTGGGGAGATTATTTTGTTGTTTGTTTGTTTCATAAATGATATGCCTGACGTTGTACACTCCTCCATACAAATGTTTGCCGATGATGGCAAGTTATTTCGGGAAATTAAGAACCAAGCGGACTGTGAAGAGCTGCAGAAGGACCTCTGTGGGCTCCAGGAATGGTCGAAGAAATGGCTGCCGAGATTCAATGTCACGAAGTGTAAGAGGATGCACCTGGGGCGTACCAACAGTAAGGAGGCGTATCATATGTCCCAACGGGATGAAGAAAATGCACTAGTTGAGACTGTGTGTGAGAAGGACCTAGGTGTGTATGTTGACAATGAGCTGAAGTTCTCGGGCCATTGTGAGAAGAAGGTAAATCAGGCAAATAAATTATTGGGTCTTATAAGAAGGTCGTTCAGATATCTAGACGGTCCGTCCCTCGTGACGATCTTCAGGAGTGAAGTGCTTCCCCATCTGGAGTACTGTCACCCCATCTGGTCCCCGAGATATGCTAGGGACTGTCAGTTGGTTGAAAATGTTCAAAGGAGGGCCACCAAGCTGGTGCCTGCACTTCGGCATCTCAGCTACCCTGCGAGATTGGAGCGCCTGAACTTGCCTAGCTTATACTACAGACGGGCAAGGGGGGACCTAGTTGAGGTTTATAAGCATCTCAGGGAGCACTACTCAGTTGAGTGTCCTTACTTGGAGCTGGCGGACGCTCGCCCCCACAAGGGGTCACAGCTCAAGATTGAAGAAGCCGCAAGTCCGGAAAACCGTGAGGACAAACTTTTTCGGAGTGAGGTTGTAAACTCTTGGAACAATCTACCAGAAAGTGTTGTGACGGCACCGAGTGTGAGCTCTTTCAAGAAAGACTTGACCAACACTGGAGCGGGTTCAGGTACATTCAGGAGCCGGTGCGCCCAGTGTTGCCAACAGTGCGTGACAGAGACGACCGATCGGCGGGAGCGGCGGCCGACCTTTTGGTGAAATATAAAAGGAAAAGAGTCGTGACCGATCGCCCAAGCGGCTAACAAAGCCGATCGGTGGCGAAGAGGATAAAAAGTAAAGGCAAAGGGAGACCTAATTGAGGTGTACAGTATAAGCAACTCAAAGGGCACTACTCAGTCGAGTGCCCTTACCTGGAGCTGGCGGACGCTCGCCCCGCAAAGGGGAACAGCTCAAGGTTGGAGAAGCTGCAGTTCCAGAAAACTGTGAGGGGTAACTTTTTCGGAGTGAGAGTTGTGAACTCTTGGAACAATGTTCCAGAAAGTGTTGTGACAGCACCGAGTGTGAGCTCTTTCAAGACCAGACTTGACCAACACTGGAATAGGTTCAGATGCATGCCCAATACTTGCCAACAGTGTGTAACAGAGACGTGACTGATCGCCCAAGCTGCTAACGAGCCGATCATTTGTTGAAGAGGATAACAGTATATGCATCTGTCAACAAAACAGATCTGGCTGCCGGCGATGTGTGCTTTACGGAATGCTGTACCGACTTCAGTCACCGAACTACGCCTGAAACAGTAACTCTCCCCGTGGTAAAAGGTAGGTGACAGGACGATAATCGAGGCAATAGTGTTGAGGGGTATTACAAGTAGGAAAATAATTGCTAGATAGATGAGCGTCCTAATCTACTGTATGCAGAGACAACAATATGTCTACGATGACGATTCTTGTGTGGAAAGAAAGACGTTAATCATAATATTGGATTGATAGATTGAGCCTTCGCTTTATCCCTAAGATGGAGGTGTGAGGAGAAGAGCGGCCGAATGAATTATCCTGTAGCAGTGGAGAGAAGGTCTCGTTTCAATACCAGTGTAAGCCAGACTTCCAGCATTCTTAGTGAATCAACAGTATTGTTGAGTAATAAGCCAACATGTGATTGAATCCATAGGAAGGGTACAACAAGAGTTTTCGCTGGTAAAAGTAAAGAGAAGAGCAAGAAATGGTCCAATAATAGCTTTTAAAATTTAAATCCTGCAATAGATCAAATCACTCTCAACACGACACAGAAACGTCAGACGACCACGGTGCTGAGTATACGCACAGTTAAGGTGAGTGAGTGTGTGTGTGTGCAGTTTTGGATAGTAAGAGAGAGCATCATGTGTTATTCGAACAATTATGAATAATTTTGGAAGAATCGTTTAACCGTATATGAATAAATTATTAATTAGAAGCCACAGTGTCTCAAACATGCCAAACATCCACAGGAGCTCTCAGATTATGATCTCCGGAGATAGGTCAGTATGGCGACAAAAATGAGGTTTTGTAGATCATGCATGATGTTTGTGATGATAATAAGATGACAGGACACCCACTGTACCTGAGGAATGATGGCGCTACACGGAGAACTAATTAAAATCTTTTTATATCCTTACCATCCTTACCTCAGAGCAACCCAGGACAGGGACTAGAAAAATTCCAAGCAAATTGGTTATCATGCTATGCGGACAGTGTGTCACCGAGGACTAGAAGCGACTGTCTCAGCAAAACAAATCCTTGGACACTAAACAACTACATGTGATTTTCAATAAAATCTAATTTTGAGCTCAAACTGTCGAAAATGTAAGTCTTACACCTTAGTAATTTTTCGTCCAAAATATACTTTTCTCTCAGAATTAAAATTTAAGGGGTTTAACTAATTAAGTACGTACAGAATAACACATTAACACCAAAATCGCATTTACGAAACCCATAATTGGAGATAAATTAGCATTGAAAAATGTCATTAAATTTTTCAAGCGTAATTACAACCACTAATTACCCCACAGTCGAATCGTGGACCTCATATTCGAAATCCCCATGCTCAGGAGTACTGATACAGTATACTAAAGCTTAACACTAGCAGTCATGAACTC